ATATTTAGACTGCCTTTTGATATTTAAAGGCTGCTAAAATTGCACTTGTGTCTGGTGTGAAAATGTGGCTGTTATCTAGTAATCTGATAGGTATTGATCTGAATCCAAGGACAGTTGCACAAACAACTGCTCCACCATCCTTGGATCCATCTATAAGTAAAGATTATATGTACATGTCTTGTCTATACTACTGAACTGATTCTTGCTGTTGTTGATTTCTTTGTGATTTCTTAATCGTGGTTAATGTTAGGTCCACCTGTTGGTTTACCAACTGCAAAGGAGGAGGACAGAGCTGACGAAAAGGGGATACAGTTTCAAGTTCAATATTAGATATGAAAAGTTTAATTCTTATTCCAAAATGCGGAATAAAAGAAGATTGTTTATTATACAGATCCACATAAAGGGAAATTAAAGATACACTTGAATACAGGGTTGCATTCGATTTACACCATACTGCAAAGAGAGTTTAATGCGGCGGCGTTTGAGCGAGGGCTCATCTGCTTCAACGTAAAGACTGTCAATAGGAGAAGCTCCGAAAGATCCAACACAAAGTCTTAGACGTTGATTGTGGACAGGATCAAGTAGTTTAAGGATGCTTTTGCAGGCTCCACCATGGACGATGGAGCCGTAATCAAGTATCCAAGGGATCAGTGCCCTGAGAAGGGTTTTCTCAACCCGTCTCCACTTTGAGTTTGAAACATTAAATATGATGAGCACTGTCACTGCATGTGAGCACTGTCAGGAGCCTGCAGACATCAACATTTATACATAGAATTGGCTTCTTTTGCAACTTTAATATGCGCACCATCTTGGTGTTTGTGTGGTTTATATTCAATGTCTTCAAAAGGGTTTGCAATTTATTTCAGATTTTGAACATTTTAATCCATTTTAACACCATTTCTGAATGTTACACTAGTCTAGTTGCCGTCTGATAGTATGCATGGTTTTACCACAACAAAAAGCATTAAAATCTTCCACAAGGATCCATCAATTGAATCTTGTAAAACCTTTGAATTTTTTTGTACTTTACGCAAAATAATGTCACAGACAAAACACTGCCTTGTGGGACACCCTGATCCTAACTGTAATTTTTAGACAGGGTGAACCCACGCGGACTGCCTCTCATAAACTTGGCTATAAAAGGAGGCAAAATCGTGTAACTCCCCTTTTCACACGTTTTTAAATGACAAAAAGATATATTTTCCATGCTGTATGTTATGTCGAAGGCATTTTCGACAAATCATTCTAAACACGCTAAATGATCGATAGAACTTTTTACTGAAACCACAGTGTATATCAGTACTTGTATAGATTGTTGGTTTCCATGTATGAAACTAATCGATTGTTAATCATGCGTTTCCAGGTTTTGCAAACATAGCTTGTTAGTGAATTGGTCGATAATGTGTACGACCGGTAAGGTCAGGTTTGGGACGATTATATCATCACATGACGAAGAAGGGAGTTTCCTGACATCAGATGTCGAAATATTTGAAAGGATCTCTTAACATAATTCTGGTAGGTGTTTCAGGATAATGATAATGCATGTCGATACATGTTAATGCATGGTATCAGATCATGTAGCGCTATAGTGAGTTTGTTAAAAAAGCAGCATCGAGCTCATGAATATAAATATTTCATTGTAGTCTTCCCCATTATTTGAATTGAAATCGTTTGATTTCTCTTCTTGCAGTTTTTGATAGTTTTCGAAGTGAGGTATATGATTAGATGAGGAAGAATGTTTGGCCAAAGTTTCTCCAAGAATATTAGCAGTATCAGATTTATTGGTCAATAACTGGTCCCCGTCTTTAGAATGGTTCCTGCTAGACTCAGAACTTTCAACTGGATCATGTTCCATACATCTGACATTTGCGTACGTGAACTCATTTTTGATTAGTGTTTACTTTTTTTAAATTGTATATGTGGACATTAGGATGAAGGCAGAAATAGTGTTCAGCCATTTCTCTTGCCTTTATAACGTCATTTACAGTCATCGTTGAACCATGCTTTTTGTATGTGTGCAGTTGCAGAGAACTTTGGTATATACTTGTCAGCTTAATTATTCAGTTCATCAGAAAAAAACACCATTTTATTGCATCAGGAATGTACATGAACATGAAGAGTTCAGGATCCAGTATATTACACAGCGTTTCATATAAAGAGGAGCTAGCTTTTTAAAGGTGAGGTGAAATTGGGTTTTACGTCGTGCTTGAGAATATTTCGCTCATATGACGACGAGCATGCGTGTGTTTCATAGCGCTAGCTCACTGAGATACCATGCCGCAGTGAAGCATGAATACCCCACTCAGACACATTATACTGACTCCGAGCCGACCTGTCCTTGTTGTACCCATTAATTCCGAGCGCCAGGCAGGGACCAACAAGTACCATATTTTAACGTCGTTTGGTCTGACGCTGTCGGGGATCGAACCCGCGAATTCCGCTCTCCAGACGGACGCTCTAACCACTACGACACGGAGGCGGTCCTGGCTTTTTAAAAATACCATCTTGAGGATGAGGGAACATCAGATGGGGCCACAGGTTTTGATATTGTAGAAAATGGCCAAGTCCACAGACTGGCCATTCAAATTCATTCAGTAGGTTTGAGTCTGTAACTGACAAATCGAGAGCTAAAAAAGTACCTGGACCGGGATGTAAATGAGTGTTTGAACCATCATTATACGTGAATAAATCATTAGTTTGAAATGAAATCCTACTGTATTTTACCTTTAGCGTTTGTAGATGTACCAAACACACACACACACACACACACACACACACACACACCCACCCCACCCCACCCCACCCCAAGAGTTGGTTGTAGCCATTTAAATCACCCAACATTTCCCAAGGTTTGTGGAGTTGATTACAGAAAGTTGGAAGATCAGCCTGATGAAGAGCTGATGATGGCGGAATGTACAACGAGCCCAGAGTAAATGCAACATTTATAGTAGGTCGCACTGCTACTCCTTGGAGATTTGCTTTGAGTGCGACGGGGTGCGGATAATATCATACCATACATGGATTGGTGATGGGCTGACCCAGGGCGCTCGAGAAGGTTCTGGAAGCTCTCTATTATATATGTATAAGGAGCGGGAGTGCTAGTCTTGCCTTAGGCATCTCATATTTCTTCGAACACTTCAAGCAAAACAGCAGTTGTAGATAGATAACGTTTCTCTATGGTTTCTCAACCTTGGCCAGTTCTAAAAACCTGACCGCTGTTGCCACAATGTGAATGCGATTATTTTCCTTTATCTTTTTACTGCTACTGAATCTGGACTGAAAATTCCTCTGTACTGGTTTGTATTGATTTATAAACTTTAATTTTAGAATACAAATGTTAATTATATCACACCTCTTTGCAGATTCACAATGCCTTATTTCACGTTAACTTTTAGAGTGAAGTCGGGAATTCACACTTAAATCTACAGATGCTGTGGGAAAGTAGGCTTCGATCTCTCAAGAACTGCCCCAATCTTTGCAGAGTTGCCTCCCTTAGTCATATCAGGTTCTGCCACTGAGCTGGCTTTGGTTTGGTTTGGTTGTTATTTAACGTCGCAGTCAGCAGTATTCCAGCTATATGGCAGCTGTCCGTAAATAATCGAGTCTGGACCAGACAATCCAGAGATCAACGTCATGTGACTCGATCTGCGCAATTGGGATGTGATAAGATGTTTCACCCAAGACAGCGAGCCTGACCACCCGATCCCGTTAGTCGCCTCTTACGACAAGCAGCCCGTGAAGATCCGGGGTAGAATTGATCTTCAGCAACCCACGCTTGCCACAAAAGGCGACTATGCTTGTCGTAAGAGGCGACTAACGGGATCGGGTGGTCAGGCTCGCTGACTTGGTTGACACATGTAATCGGTTCCCAATTGCGCAGATCGATGCTCATGCTGTTGATCACTGGATTGTCTGGTCCAGACTCCATTATTTACAGACCGCCTCCATATAGCTGGAATATTGCTGAGTGCGGCGTAAAACTAAACTCACTCACTCACTTACGACAAGCATGGGTTAGTGAAGATCAATTCTAACTTGGACCTTCGCGGGTACTGAGCCGGCACGCCATGATATGACCAGAATACTGTTGATGATAACTCGGTACATTGGAACAGAAGCAATCCCGATGATACGACTTGTATCAGAACACGTGTTACGTCGACTTAGATCCAGCTTGACTAATACAAACAAATGTGGGGCCACAAATTCCTAGCTTGTCCGTTGTCAACGAGGGCGATGGAGATGCCATTGATCCGCCATTACATGACTGAGTTCTGTCTAGAAGAAACGTTTGCGCATCGCGCAGGGGAAGAGGTTCTAGTTTTCCCGAAGCATACGGAAATTACCGAGGCCTTGCGAATGATCACTTTTGAAACAACGTCGCTGATTGCACAACTAAATCTGATTGCAACCAATGACGAATCCTGAACACTCGCACTATGAAAGGGCCGTATTAGAACAGAGGTTCGTAGGAAGATATGACAAGTAGCCTCTGAGGGAAGAGAATGCAGGGGCCCAGGAACTCGGCAGGATCTCTGTCGTATTCAGCAAAATAGCATCTGGATCTAAGAAAGGGACAACAGCCTAAAAGTTGAATGACGATGGTAACATAGGTGCATACTTACGTCTACACAGTACGTGAGTCTCCACATAGATGTCATATGTATAATTCGTCAGCAGTAGGTTGCCAAGGAGAACATGGAACCCAATACAGATATTGTCTCTTCGGTTGTACTGAAAACTGGAACAGCTTGGATCCTGAACACACAGGAGGAAACAGGCGACCCGTTCTCGTACGTCTTCGATCTGCCATAGGCGCCATCGAGGAAAGGACACGCCGTTTAGGCTGTCTACAGCCTTAGATGTGCATTTATTGCACGTTTCAGCTGTCACGATGGAACTGCAGAAAAATAATATGCAAGAAATAATGTTTTTCATACTTGGACACATGAAGATGAATTTCTCCTCAGGTGCTGTAGCGTCTTCTGAACAGTTGTGTACCCGATGGTTGTCGTTAGTAGAATGGAGGAACAAGCCAATATGATCGATATGTTTGCAGCTATTTGAGTATACATCTATTTATTAATTGGCAGCATGGCTGACTTCTCAGTGAACTTCAAGGTGACTGAAACTGAATTGTATGTTCATCGGTATACTTTTTTGAGACACTGCAAGTTGTTTGGATTTCATTTCAGTTTTTAATGTTCGTTTGGTTACCTAATACATTCTTAGAAATAGGAAAACAGCATACATTGTTTGTTTGTTGTTTTACGCCCCACTCAGCAATATTTCAGCTATATGACAGCGGTCTGTAAATAATCGAGTCTGGACCAGACAATCCAGTGATCAACAGCATGAGCGGGATACGATGACATGTGTCAACCACGTTAGCGAGCCTGCCCACCCGATCCCGTTAGTCGGCTCTTACGATAAGCATGGATTATAGAAGATCAATTCTAACCCGGATCTTCACGGGTTATAAATTCTTAGAAATAGGAAAACAGCATGTATTGTTTGTTTGTTTGTTTGTTGTTTACGCCCCACTCAGCAATATTCCAGCTGTATGGCGGGGTCGGTAAACATTACTGATTATATTACTGGAATATTGCTAAAAGCGGCGTAAAACTAAACTCACTCACAAACTCAAACTGTCTGTAAACCAGAAATGTTAGTGAGTAACCTTTCTTTTCGCTTGAATAGCTGATTTTGACTTACAAGCTAATTCCAATCATATAGTCTTATTGAACTGTGACTATTGACGTATTGGAAACTACTTGTTGTATTATCTTATTTAACCAAAGTAACTCAACGTTTGATTCATGCGTCATGGTATGAGATTGAATCGTTATGCAAGCAAACCTCTACATGATTTAAGGCCATGTGTAATCAATATGGTAATAAAAGAAATTGACAACAAGAAAACGTTTTTCTTTTGGCTTATATAGTTCGTGTCCAAGGTCACCCAGTTCACCAAGTCCTTCTCTGCGGTTACTGATTTAGAACATAATACTGTCATCAAAGAAAGCATTATTTTTTCGTAATGATTTCCAGTGCGGTCCTGTGCACAGCGCTCGGGTCACGAATCAGTTGGCAAGTGAGTTTGTTCAAAATTGCATCTGTTCACCCTGCAGAAAATGGGTACCCGGTTGGATAAAGTCATGTGACTATAACCTTCTTGCGCTTTACAGGAAGCTTGGGTTATCCGGGGTAATATATTAATAATCAGATTCTGATTAAGCGCCGCGAACAAACACTTGGTGTTTGGGGACTGTGTGCTGTAGAAGATGACTTATTATTATTATTATTATCTCCACGATAAACCGATATGCTAAGTGGAAATCCATAAAGGATTCATCTGGGTCAGGCAAAACTGGAATATTCCGGAATAGGCTTAGGAATTTTCAGGCTCAACCTGAATATAATTTAGTAACGAGTTCATCATTGAATCGTGACTGAAACAAAGTAAAAGACAGATACAACACTGTTCTACAATGAATAACACTGCCCCAAATACAACACCGGGTACGAACTGGCTTAAGTAAACCATGTTTCTCGAGTGAATGAGTGAGTGAGTTTAGTTTTACGCCGCGCTCATTTTATTCCAGCTACATGTAGGCGGGCTGTAAATAATCCAGTCAATCCAGTGATCAACAGCATGAACATAGATCTACGCAATTGGGATACGATGACGTGTGTCAACCAAGTCAGCGAGCCTGACCACCCGATCCCTTTAGTCGCCTCTTACGACAAGCCTGGGTTACTGAAGATCAATTCTAACACGAATCTTCACGGGTGGAGATAAGCATGGGTTACTGAAGATCAATTCTAATACGGATCTTCACGGGTGGAGACAAGCATGGGTTACTGAAGATCAATTCTAATACGGATTTTCACGGGTGGAGACAAGCATGGGTTACTGAAGATCAATTCTAATACGGATCTTCACGGGTGGAGATAAGCATGGGTTACTGAAGATCAATTCTAATACGGATCCTCAGGGGTGGAGATAAGCATGGGTTACTGAAGATCAATTCTAACACGGATTTTCACGGGTGGAGATAAGCATGGGTTACTGAAGATCAATTCTAACACGGATCTTCACAGGTATATGCTTCTCAAAGGTAGGCGACTAAATGGAGTGAGTGAGTGATTATAGTTTTGATTGCTTTTAGCAATATTCCAGCAATATCACGGCGGAGGACAGCAGAAATGGGCTTCACACATTGTACACATGTTGGGAATCGAACCCGGGTCTGTAATTAATAGACTTACAGCAGATTCGATTTTTGCAAGCAGGAAACAGGTGAATCAATCAGCCAGAATTAAAAAAGATTCACAGTGAGGGGAGCATTCGTCACCACTCGCCACTTTCCGTAACCTGTTATTCGGATTGTCCCGGAACAACACGAGTAGGTCCCGACGGGAGCAGGCCATCAGAGGGAGATAACTCCAGAAGACGAGTATGTCAAACCGATAAGAGAGAACAAAAAAACGTTCTGAAAGAAACAAGAATTAATTGTTTGGAATGGTCATAAAATTTATGTCTTAGGCATATATGCGAATTTACTCTGTTAGTCGCCCTTGTAGCGTGTTCTAAGAATCTCATAAAAAATATTATTTGCAAATAAATACATAAAACACAAAGAAAACGTTTTGGATATATCGTTTCTCACAAGCATAAAGTTACAAACTGACTTCCACTTTGATGTTTGCAAGTAAACTGTTGGGCAGAAAGTTATCGAAACGTTGCCAGTCAGAAAAAGTCGACGAAACACTACACGTGTGCTGTAAAAACCACAACAATAATACCCATGTTAAAGACATTTACTTTGCACAGCCATATATTCTTTGTTTCATTTTATACCTCCTTGCTCTGCTACTTATATACATGTAAGTACATTAAAAGGATAAACATTATAAAGGTATATTTTCTTTCATTTTCACACAGTTTCTTCGAAGTCGCCATGACAACAGTTCAGATTACCATGGATAAAATCTGTGGAAGCCGTTTTTAATGAAACTGGCTATACCTTCCACTGGCTAAGTCAACAAGCTGTCTTTCCCAATTGAAATTATAACTATTATCTCCTTATGGTTACATGATATAGCAACTCAAACATGGCACACAGAGATTTCAAATTCTTCTAAGGGTACCACGTATCGCGTATTCAAAACTGAATATGTCCTTGAAAAATAGCTCACATATAGTATGACTAGAAATTATTGAGAATTTTAGGAATATCTTTAATTAGATTTCTAGTATAAACAACCTTGACCAGCTATCAAGTGATTGGTTTCATTCAAGAGAGACAACTCCGTTAATCCTTTTTCACGGTTGGTTGGTTTTATAGTTTTAGGGCGACATGGGCCAATAAGAGGCCTATTTGCGCCCATCCTTTTTCATTAGTTTGTGAAGAGTTATCCCCCTTTGTTTACTTGCTAGCAGACGACATTTTCAGTGATCCTCAGTATGGATGATTTAGAGAAGAGGAAGTTGATTTTGGAGTATTATAACAAGGACATCAGATCAGCTAAAGTGATTTCAAGTAGAACAGGCATCCCTTTGTCCACTGTTTATCGTGTTTTGAAAAATATTGCAAATGGATATGGCATTGGGCACTAGGGAGGCGCAGGTAGGCCCAGAAAATTGACTGTCGGTGACAGGAGGCGGCTTGGTATTCTTGTTTCTAAAAACGAACCAAGGAGTTTAGAAAACTAAAGGCTGGATATGATTGATAGAGGAACTGTGGTTGTCTGTAAGGAGACATTTAGAACTGAGCTGCATGCAATAGGTTGGCAGAAAAGTCGAGGAATTGATCCATTACCGATCATGAAACCTGAACAAAAGGAGCGAAGGTTGAACTGGTGCTTACAGCATAGACATTTTAACTGGGACAATGTGATTTTCTCAGATGAAAGTTCTGTATGGCTGTTTCCTGATACACTGAAATTCTGGACCAAACAAACTGAAAAACCTTTGTATCAGCGCCCAAAGTACAGTCCGAAATTTAACGTGGTGGATGGTATATCTGTGTTAGGGGCAACGCCCCTCTGTGTATTTGAAGGGAATATGAACAGTGTGCGGTACACAGATATTCTCGAGGGACATTCACAGGCCTGGTTTCGGACCCAAAATATGACATTGTTAGATAGGCCCTGACCTAAATCCAATAGAAAATGTTTGGGGACTTATGAAGGAAAGTGTCAATAAGAAAAATCTGACAAATATTGCTGAAATGAAAGAAGAGGTGGTCCGATATTAATTGGGACAGCATGGACCACGACTTTCTAACTTCTTTGATCAGTAGTATGCCCCGCCGCATTGAAGCCTGCATTACTGCCCATGGTGACTTGACAAAATACTAACTGTTCACCTGTCTTTGAATCTTGAGTTATGTTCTGCTAATATTCACATTTAATACGTGAGTAATGAGTGAAAAAAAAGAAAAATTTACAATCTTTAAATTCTCAATAATTTCTGGTTGTACTGTATATCCCTTTCTCCTTGGCTCTTAAATTTCTCTTGTTCAGAACTTCCTGCCATCGTTTACCTATAGAAGTAGGTAGGTGGCACGAATTCCACCCAAAAAAAGAATGTGTTACCTCTGCGACACGTGTGGTGTTGGCGATGGCTTTCAGTACATGTTTCTCTGCTATTTCTTAAAACATCTTATATCCCAAACCATTATGTTAAAAACCCAATGTGTTAAAATTTAACGAATTGTTTAACTGTGAACGAATTAGTGTTATAAAAACTATGTATATTTTGTAATACCACCATGAAAACTGTAAATCTTCCCTGTAAACCATCCCGCCATCCCATGTATTCTCAAGTGTATAGTTGTAGTACCATCATGAAAACTGTAAATCTTCCCTGTAAACCATCCCGCCATCCCATGTATTCTCAACTGTATATTTGTACCTCTTATGCCGAGTGTCCCGGCCTGAGCGTAATAAAAGTTCTGTTTTGTTCTGGCAATCGTTATCTGTTCTTAAACGG